TAGCTCTAATGTTCGCATTCTTTTCAATCCTATGGAGATTTTTGCAGAGAAGGCCTTGGTATAATTATGTATCCGTATGGCGATCCGACTCTTTACATTAAAGCCCTTGCGTCCAATGTCAACCTCAACTGTTCACTTTGACTGAATTGATCATTTGGCAGAACTTAAACAATTCGAAAGGGTGTATCTCATGTAGACTCCGCCGTCGTCATCTAAGATTTCTATTGACAAGTCTTTTTTGGTCTCCGGGAGCTTATGTGCATTATCCCCCGTAATGGAATTTATCATTCCCAACTACTTCATCGATAATTTGTATCCGAAAAAATTTAACAATGAGGACTAAACGACACACCACAGAAACATGCACCCCACCCTCTCAAATATGTTAATTAAATAACCAGTCGAAGCCGTGATGCCAGTCATGTTTATCCTTGCGGCCGAGACATGAACTCTGTTCTACATGTGCATTTGGTAGTACTGGCACTGGTCATCGTCACTCCCGTGGTGTATTCCGCGAAGGGTGTTGCAATTGACGAGTTTTGTTTGTCCGATGAGGGTAAGTCTCTTACCGCGTTTATAGTTGTCACTCGTTATAGAACGCCCTGCTTGGAATCGCAGTCTTCACTATAACAATGAGCCCTTCGTCCTGAGCATTGAAGTTAGCGACAGACCCTCGCATTGGATTATTAACTACATATTCGAAATCCTCGTTCGTGAACGCCTGGGTTACAACAAAATTAGATTTGTCCACTCAAATTGGGATTCTACAGCGGAAACAGTTTCGCGTGTTAATTGTGCTAAACATGGGTACGTTCCTGCTAATTTTCCACAGGATTTTGGCCCACGTTTTATAATACCGAACCATTTTCATTCATTTCCACTGTCATTGTAAGCTCTGTGTAAATGCCAACCATGACAGCGTTTGCTTGTGTGCTATTAGTCAACCGGATATCTAAAATACATGTCTGATAGTGATACATAGTGACATTAGAAAACAGATACCAATGATTAATTGTTTGCAATATTAGTCATTTTTAAATGCCCGACAGGTGCTGACGAGAGTTTTTTTAGCGTTAAATTTATAGTTCTTTCAGTCCCGCCCACCGGAGGTTAATTGTTTTTTGGCTAATAAGGGAAAACCTCGTGTTTTGACTGCATCCATCAACCCTGTACAGCAGTGGACAGCTGCGCGCTAATCAAAATATGTATCTTCCACACTTTCGGGGC